AATTTGGATGGAATCACAGGAGGAGGAAGAGCTGGAGCAGGAAGGAGGTCACAGGCTGGAGGAGTCTTGGGGAGGCCGTAGGGATGGGTCAGACAGACCCTGTCGGGGGGATCCAGCATGTCCAGTCCTGCCTCAGCAGGCACAAGGTGCATCCTCTCTCCAGCAGACAGTCTGTGATTCAGACACCTCACAGCCAGAACCTGCCAGAATATTTAAAAAAGCTGAGACTCATGTGGAAGGGAAACCATCTGGTGCTGTTGGAGTATGTGTTAAACCCAGGGTTTGGAAAGAGATGGATCTCGTCTCCCTACAGGAAGAACTTTCCATCCCTGGGAGCACAGAGCTGTGCCAGGCACGGGGGAAAGGAGCTTGTGAGGGTCCTGCCCTGGTTCCCTGCCCAGAGCCAGGTACCTGTGCCTGAGGTACCCCTGCCAGGTCGGCTCTCAGAGCCCGGTCCCGCAGCCAGCCCTGTCTGGTGTTCAGTACTGTGGAAGACATTCCCCTGTAATTGCTTCCTGCAGAATTCCTCATTGGCGCTGCAGTGCGGCTGCTCCGGGAGCCGGGGTGGCAGATGCTGTGCATGCGGGTCGGATCCAGTCTGGCAGTTCCCGTTCCTGTGACCTTGGCACAGATGGCAGAGCCGCAGCTCTGGCGGGCTGGCAGGCGCCTTCTGCTCAGTCCCGGGCACAGGTGCCCGTTGTCTGGGGAAGGAGGGGAGTGGGATGTGTCCATTGTCTGCCCACGGGCCTGGCCATGGCGTGGGGAGTGGCAGCTCTGAGCTCCAGCTCTGTGCGTTCAGCAGAGGATTCCAGGGAGGGGAACTGCCCGCACAGGGCTGGTGCTGACAGGTGCGAACACCTGAGGGAAGAGCGGGACGTGAATCCCCAGGAGAGGCTCTGGGTGGGACCTCTGCTCCTGCAGGCCGTGGTGGGGTCTGTGCTACTGACAGGGATGGGAGGGGAGGTGGATGGTGGGACCTGTGGGCTTAGGAGAGGAGGGAAAAAGGAGAATGAAGGGGCTTGGCCGAGGTGCTGGCTGTGCAGGTGGGGTTTGGCTTTGTCTGAGGCCTGGATGCATCCAGAAAACTGGAGAAGTAGGATGAGGCTTGCTGAGGAGAAGAATGAGGGTTCGAAGAGAAGGCACAGTTCAAGAAGGTGATGGGAGTTTGAAAGAGTCAAGGCAGTGGAGTCAAAAAGTCCTGTATAAGGAGGGGGAAAGGGAGGTGCCTGATGTTAAGGTGTTCCCTGGAGAGGCCTGGAGAAGCAGGAGAAGACTTGGGCTGGCTCAGCAGACAGGGCTTTCAGTTAGGTAAAAATAGTTTAAGGGGGAGTGAGGCATCTTTTTTTTTCCTCCCCAGAGGGAGCACAGATCATACTTGCAATGTGAAGGAGGAAAGCCAGGGAGAGGGAAAAGGTGTGGAGGAAAAAGGAGGAGGAAGAAGAGGAAGAGGAGAAGGAGGAGGAGTGCCCTGGGGTGATGCTGGAGACAGGGACTGCAGGCAGCAATGGGGGGTGCTGGGGAAGAGCTGGAGGAGGTACCACAGTCAGGACTTCAGTGGCCGAGAAGGAGGGTCAGTGCTTGGTGATGGTGGGTTTGGTCAAAGGAAAGGACTGCCCTGGAACGAGACAGGAGTGAAGCTCTGGCTGAGGTGGCACACTTCACCTGGTGCCCTCTGCTTCGGGCTCGGGGGGCCTCTGGAAGTCGGTGCTGCTGGGTCTGTGCTCCAGGGTGTGAGTTACTGCCTGGGTCCATACTGACCCCCCGTGTCCCGGAGCACAGGGCGGCTGCCTGGGGGGTTCGCTGCCCCATCACAGCTTTGGGAAAGGTGAGAAGGCAGCAGGTAGCTGGATCTGGTGCAGGGCTGGTGCGGCCGGGGCCGGGGGTCTGGGCGCCGAGAGCGGGGGGTCCTGGCAGGAGCAGGGAAGCTCCGGGCGGGGCTGGGGACGTGCGGTGGGACTGCGGCCGGGGAAGGCAGCGGGGGACGCGGGGATGCGGAAAGGGGCGGATGGAGCGGGACCGCCGAAGGGCTGCGTGTATTTGTTTGCCGGTAGCGGGATCCCAGTGCCGCTGCCGGAGCCGATCCTGGCACCGGAGCCGGTCCCGCCGGGATCCGGGTGTCGATCCCGGTGTCGCTGCCGGTGTCGATCCGCCAGGGTCGCGGTGTCACTCCCGGTGTCACTCCCGGTGTCGCGGGCAGCAGCGGCGAGCGGGAGCGCAGCGCCCCCTGGCGGACACGGCCGGCCCCGCACCGCACCGAGGCCCCCGTTGCCGGCCCTGCCCGGCGGTCGGTACCTGGCAGGGTCCGGGACGGTTCTGGTCCTGGTGAACACCCCAGCGGGGCCCAGACAGGTTCTGGTCCCGGTGCTCGGCGCCGCCTCGACGGGGTCCGGGCCGGTTCTGGTCCCGGTGAGCGCCACGGCAGGTTCCGAGTCAGCGCCGCCGCTCCTGCTGCGGGCTCCGGCGCGGGCACTGAGAGCGGCCGAGCAGTGACAGGGACCGCGCTGCTCTGCCCGGGGCCGCAGCCCCGCGCCGCTCCGGGACGGCGCCGCCGCCGCTCGTCCCCCGGGCTCGGTGCCGTCGGTGCCCGCGGAGGGCGCGGCGGGCGGGGCGGCCCCGGCCCCCGCCCCATCCCCATCGCGGCCCCGGCCCGTTCCGGGGCGGGCCGGCCCAGCCCCGCGCTGGCGGCGCCGAGCACGGCCCGGACATGCGGGCGCGTCGTGGGAGCCCCGCGCCGGCGGCGGAGAGCGGCGGGCGAGGGGCCATGGGGCAGCCCCGCCGCTGACCATGGCCGAAGGCTGGCGCTGGGCCGGGCCGGGCCGGGGCGCCCCGCGGCCGAGCCCCCGCCGCGCCGTCAGCGTCTGCGAGTCGCTGGACCTGCAGGGCGTCCCCGCCGTCCAGGCCGCGCTCGGCGCCGCGCAGCAGCAGCGCCGGCGGCCCAAGAGCTTCTGCGCGGCGGGGAACGGGCTGACCGGGGCGCTGCTGCCGCCGCCGCCCCCCGCCCGCGCCCGCGGCGGCCTCCTGGACCTGCTCCGGCTGCGCTCGCCCCGCAGGCAGAGCCCCGAGGGAGAGGGCGACGGCCCCGGCGAGGCGCAGCGCCCGCGCCCCAGCAGCATGACCTTCCTGCCCAGCGCCCGGCCGCCGCACCCCGCCGAGAGCCCCGGCTTCCTCCGCGGGGGCTCCCTGTGGGGCAGCCGCCGCTGGAACCTCTTCGGGGGCAGCGGCTGGAGCGGCTCCAGCCCCAGGAAGAACTTCAGCTCCCTGCGGAAAAGCTTCAGTTTCCGCCTGCGCCGGGGCCACGAGCTGCGGCGGTCCGAGTCTGGGGGGCTCCTGCGCCCCACGCGCCTCCGCACCAAGAGCGAGGGTGATGCCAGCTCCCTGCACACCTGCCCCAGCAAGCGGGACCTGCTGTACCCGGAGCTGAGCAGGGTCGGGGGCCGGCTGCACACCGACCCTGTGCAGACAGGGGGACTCTGGAAACTCCTCACGAGCCGCTTCCGAAGGCGAGAGCGTGGCAGCGTGTGCCCCAAGGATCCCCACGGCAGTGTGGAGCCTGGCCTCCTGGGTGGGGGTCCTCTGCGGGCTCTGGGTAAGTGAGCACAGGGGCAGCGCTGGGCTGCCGAGAGCCCCTTGTGCCAGCGTGGCCTGCAGGGATGGGTGGCTGTGCCTGTCCCAGCCGGGGCTCTGGGCTGTGCACTGGCACCTGGTTCTGGCCCGGTGCTCTGCAGGGTTTGCACTGGGCCCCAGTGAGGTCGTGTGAGTGCTCACAGGTCGTGTCGTGCTCCGGTGCCCTGGGCACTGCACCGGCAGTGGTGCTGGAGCAGCCCTGGTGTGGCTGCTTGGCAGGATGCGCTCCGGGGACTCGTTCCCTTGCTGGCCACACACCTGAGAGTCAAGCACGTGTGTTACATGTCCTGCTTGCCCTGGTGGTGTCCCAGCACGGGCAGGATGGGCCGAGCCTTCCTGCCCTTGCCCAGCAGCATCTGCGGAATGGGGAGAGGAGTGCTGTTGGTGGTCTCCCAGGCAAGTGAGACTGTTTGGGAGGTTGCCAGAGCAGAGGTGTGGAACAGCACAGGGGGTTGGGGAGCCCAGAAGTGTGCCTGCATCCCCCCCCTTGTGAGCGGCTCCATGGTGCACGGCCTCATCTGGGGGATGCTCAGCCCCAGCCACCCCTGCCGAGATCCCTCACTAAGACCTCGTGTTCGGGAGCGCAGGGACCCTCACCTGGTATGGGGCTGCGTGCAGAGAGCAGATATGGCATTACCAGTGACGGGACGGGGGGACAGGGTCCCCATGGGGCTGGGCATTCAATGGGTACTGGCAGCTGAAGCAGCTCTTGGGTGTTCAACTCTCCGATGTTGGTGGGGAGTTGTCCGGGGCAGTGCTGGCTGTGCCTCTGTGCCCTTCCAGGCCCTGTGCAAGGAGCTGCCCCGAGCCCTGTGTCCTGGCAGGGCCGGGAGGCGACAGCAGCATCCACAGCTTTTTAAGGCATGGAACGCATGGAGCTGGGGGCTGGGCCAAGGCCTGCCGCCCGCTCCCGGGGGGCCTCGCTGGGTTCCATGGCTCTGCTCCGGATCCGGGTGTTGTGGAGGCAGTTCTCTGCTGGGCTGATGTGCAGAGGATGCCTTAGGGCTGGCAGGCTCTCCAGGGAACCCACATGCTCCCGAGGATCCTGGTTGCTCCCGAGGCAGTGCCTGTCCAGGGCAGCGCCGTTCCCCGGCAGTGCTGGGCCGTAGAGATCAGCACAGGAGCAGCTCCGCAGGGAGCTCAGGGGCTCCATCCTCCAGCCCCTCTGTCCCTCGGGCCCGCTGTGCTGCAGGGGAAGGTTCTGGAGCTCCCATGGGTGCAGGGCTGCCCGTGCACCACAAGGCAAAGGGCCGGGATGCCGCTGCGCTCCGGGGGTTCCGGTGCTGGCAGGGCAGCCCGGGCTGTGCCGCTCCGGCTGGGTGGCAGGAGGTTCCCAGGAGAGGGGAGGTGCGCTCATGGCTGCGGAATGTGGGTGTATGCGGGCAGGGAGGGCCGGGCCCTGCCCCTGCAGCGGGGGCCTGTTCCTGCTTGCCGCTTCCAGTGGGAGCTGCGCCAGCAGCCCCGGCCTGGCGGCCGCGTTCCCAGAGAAACAGCGAGGTTGAGCGCTTGGTTGGCGTCCTTGCCTCTCACCTGGCTCCTCCACGAGACAGGTAGGAGCTCCCTTTGGATCTGTCTTTGGGAGACCCTGCTGAGGCTGCTGTGGGGAGCGGTGTGGGCGGCTTGGGGTCCCTGCAGCAGTGACCAGCCAGCTCCTGCAGGACCACTGCTTGCTGCAGGGATTAGTGTTTGCCACTGTGGCTCGTGCTGGAGGCAGAGGCTCAGGGATTGACCTCTCCAGCCGCACTGGCACTGTTGCTCCTGGCAGGAGCCCCTGGCGCTGCAGAGCTCACAGCAGGTTTGGTCACACTGAGAGCACCGCTCATTACCTGCCTGGTACCTGCACAGTCCCTGTGCCCACCAACCCCGTGTCCTCCTGGGAATGGTGAGGGGTGAAAAGGCAGTGGTGAAGTCTGCACAGCAAAGTAGCTGCCGCTTGTCCTCTCTTGTGCCCCATCTCCCCGTTGTCTCTGTGATCAGAATTCTGGTCCATGGCTTGCTCTGGTGGGAGCTGTGGGTTTCTGAGCCAGGGCTGGAGGGGCTCAGCCTTAGTGCTGCTGCCACGGGGCTGCTCAGGAGGGCTCTGCCCCATTCCTGTTCCAGCCTTGCAGGCCCATGGTGTTCCAAACACCACTTGATGTCCCACAGACTTTGATGCTCTGTGTGGGCGCTGCCCACCTTGCCCTGGGAAAGCTGCTGGTGCAGCCCCAACTTGCCCTCCTGGGGGTGCAGCTGCAGCTGTGGTTATCAGCACTTGGAAAAGCTGGATGTAGGAGTCCCGGCAGAGAGCCAAGCCAGCACCCTCTCTGTTTCCAGAACCTGGAGTGCTTTGTTTACGGCACACCGTGATACCCACCCCACACCATGATCTGCATCCAGATATACCCACAAAAGCCAGGGGGATGCTCCAAATGCTTCTCCCAGCCCTGGAGGGGTTCGGCTGGGATTGAGCACACAGGGAGGTGATGGGGGATTTCAGGGTTTGTTACCCAAAAAAGACATAAAGAGCTGATCCTTGTGTAATGGGCAAGGGAAGACAACAGCCCTTGGGACTAGAGAGCAAAGTCAACACAGAGTCAACACAGGTGATCGTGGTCAGTGGTTCAGAGCATTTCTAGGTATCCAGGTGTTGGCTGGTGCCATTCCAGAGAGGCTCTCTAATAGGGTATGGTCTTAGGAAAACTGGACTGTTCTGGAATTGGAGTTGTTCCTGTGCATGAAGGGACTGTGTGCTGGGTACAGCATCTCTGATGGCTCGGGAAACATTCCTCATCGGAGGGAACAGCATGGAGCTGTGTCAGGGAGGTTTGGGTTGGAGATCAGGAAAGAGTTCTTCCCCCAGAGGGTGGTCGGGCACTGAACTGGCTCCCTAGGGAATGGTCATGGCCCCAAGGCTGCCAGAGCTCAGGGAGTATTTGGACAGTGCTCTCAGGGACAGGGTGAGATTGTTGGGGTGTCTGTGCAGGGCCAGGGGTGAGACTGATGGTCCTTGTGGGTCTCTTTCAGCTCGGGATATTCTGTGATTCTATGTCACAGCTGTGTCCCCTCTCCTGGAGAGATGCCCTGCTTTTTGAGGTTCTTTAAGGTACCTCCCTTTACTCTCGTGTGTGAGTACTGATTTACAGGGCATGTGAGGGAAGGCTTCTGAGAGAAGACGGGGCTGTTTTCTCATGGATTGGGTGAAGTTTGCATAGTGAGTTGGGTAGGTCATGATAAATATCACCTCGTGTTGGTACTTGCCTTGGCTGAGCTGGGAGTGTTGCTGAGAGGCAGAGGTGTCATGGTGGGGTTAGAGATGCCTCGGATGCTGAGGCCAGTCTGGTGTCCACATTTGGGAAAAACTTGAGAGTTCTGGAAGGTGTCAGGGAGGGAGCTGTTGGGACAGTTCTCTGGAGGGCTCAGTTCTTAGGGCGAGGTCAGAGGGTGTGTGGTGTGTGTGGAGCTGTCTGGCTGCAGTCACGGGCAGCCTTAGGAAGAGGGAGCCCAGTGCCTCAGTGTTCACCTGCCAGCACTCGTGGGGCTGCACAGCTGGAGCTGGGGTCAGGCACACTGGGGGCAGATTTTTGCTGGTGAGGTAGATCCCCACAGAATGCTGTGATGGGAGGCTGAGTTACCTGTCTTTCTGTGTCACTCTGCTGGGTTTTCCCTTCCAGCAGACCCTGTCCCACCATCACAGCAGGATTTGGTCTGGGTGTTTGACAGTATTTGGATGGGAGCTGGAGAGCAGCAGGTTGAAATGCCTGGATCTTGAAGAGTCTGCACTGAGCTCAGAGCACAGTGTCAGCAGCTGCTGCTGTCTGTGGCATGGTGATGAAGCAAGGATGGCAGTTCCTAAGCATTCCCTTTCCCAGAGACACAGCATTGTCTCCTTTTGTTGCTGCAGAGTGTTCAAAGCTCTGCTGAGATAATCCTTGCCAAGGTCACGTCCTGCAGTGGGTTCCCGTGCTGGCTCAGTGCTGACTGGAACGCTGGCTGTGCCTGTGCTGGTCCTTGACCTGGAGAAATCCCCATCCTGCCAGCATTGCCGGGGTACAGGCTTTATCAGCCTGGCCTGGGAGGGGTGGCTGTGCCCAGGAGGGGTGGCTGTGCCCAGGCACGCTGCCTCTGCCTCCCTTTGATCTGTGTGTGCGCTCAGGTGGGTCCGTTTGTGTGGCCGCAGTGGTGGCCACAAGTGGCCTCGGTTTGTGTGGCCTCTGCTGTATTTGCTCAGCCTCTGACCAGGTTTCAAGGCTGGGTTTAGTGTCCAGGGTTGCAGTGTCCAAGGGAGTTCCACCATGGTTTGGATAATGAGTTGGTTAATTATTAGTTGCTGTGTGAGTCCAGATGTGTCTGGCACTGACGCTTCTGAAGCACAGGGTGATGAACCTGCTGTGCATCGTCCGTGGAGCAGCTGGGGTGAGCAGTTGGATTTGGCCAGCCAGCCCCTTTCTCCTCCCAGCCTCCCTGTGGGATGTGGGTGCTGGGAGCTGTGGGTGTGTGGCTGAGCCCTCTCCAAGCTGTCTTCAGGGCACAGGGAATGCCCTGCTCTGTGATGGAGGGTGCTGGTCCTGCCTCCTCAGCACACAACACTGCTGTCCCACAGCTGGGGTCTGGTCTGGAGATCCTGGGGGTGTCCAGGGTGACCAACTGACCAAGGGACATCAGCTAGAGAGTGCCTCCTCTTATGTCCTTGTCTGCTCTTCTGCATGGCAGGGGCTCTGCCCACCCCACCTCCCAAATTTCCACCTTCTGCAGTAGAGCTGCCTGTGCTGGGAAACTTCCATCAACAGAAGCTTCTGGAGTGCTACAGAGTTGTCTTGAATCTCCTTTGCCCCGGCCGGTCTGGACTGATCTCCTTTTGTACAAACGGTTGTGTCATGGAGCCAGGGGTGCTGTTGGGCTGTGCTGCAGCTCTTGGTATGAAGCAGTGGTTCCCTGAGCCCACTGCTGGGGCTTTGGAGGTCAGGTACACCTGGGGAAGGTGTTGAACTGTAGCAAGGACAGCCTGGTCCCCTCTGTGTGGTTAAATAACAAAGAGAAGATGCAGGAAGAGTGGCCAGGTGTATTTTCATCTGGAATTGCAGGCGATGCAGCCAGTCCAGCAGTGAAGCTGTCCAGTGATTCCCGACTCCCTGATGCTACATGCACCCCAGTTCTCAGTGGGAGATCAGGCCCTGGAGGTGTCCCCTGCTGGAGGCAGTCCCTGCTGGATGAGCTGGCACCAGGGCCCAGGTGCTGCAGCGGGGTCTCTGCTCACCTGCCTGGGGTTTTGGGTGGTGCCTCAGCCCTGGTCAGGCTGGTGGCTCTCTGTGTCCTTCCACATGGTTACAGCTTCACCCAGGAGACCGTGGGGATCCTGTGCCTGTTCCTATGGGGAGCAGTGCCTGAGGGCTGGGCACCCCTGCACCCCTCCAGCTCAGTGGGGTGGGGAGGGTCTGCAGGGAAATGGGGAAGGTCTGGCAGCCACAGAGGGAATGGTGCTGTTGGAGTCTGCTGCTGCTCTGGTGTGTAATAATGTCACACAGGATGTATAATGTCACCCTGATGGGATTCGTAGCCATGAGTGCAGGGACTTGCCACGTTCTGCATTTTGACAACCAAGCGTGAACACTTGTATGGACAGAGCTGACATCAGCGTCATGTCACTGGTTTTCAGCAGCCAGCTGCTTGGGCTGTGGTTGTTTTGGGTTGAGAAACTGCTTGTGAGCTGCCCTTTGGCAGCTCTGTGGGTGTGATCCGTGCACACACTGCTGCAGGAGTGATGGCCCAGGAGGGAAATCAGGGAGGAGGAGGCTCCATCCTGGGAAGTGTCTGCGACCTGGCTGACAGAGCTGATCCTGGTGCAGCTTGAGGCCATTTCCTCTTGTCCTATCAAGTGTTGATGGCCTAGAGTACCCTGTCCAGGTGGCAGGTGGGAAGCTTCCCCACATGCCACAAGGTGCAGCAGAGGACACAAGCCCGCTCTGGACTGTGGGCATGCTCGGCCTCTCTGCCTGCCAGGCACTGCCCTCTTCATCCTTAATCAAAACTCCCTCCTGCTCAGCTAATGAGGCAGGAGAGAGGCTGGGGCAGTGTGAGAGTGCTGCTCCAGGCAGGTTTTCAGAGCCATAGTGGGGTGTGCCCGTGAACAAGAGACGTGTCTGTTCACCGAGGTGTTGCTCAGTTGAAGAGTTGGTGTGTACAGGTCTGGCCCAGGGTGGCAGGGGCACGCAGGGGTCTTCTGCTCCTGACACCTGTGACCTTGGCTCCAGAAGGGGCCTCAAAGGGACCGAGCCCCTCCAAGATGTGCATCTCACTGACTTCCAGGTGATTGTGAACGAAGGGAGACTCCAGCTGCACGGTGTAAAGTGGTGCTCACACCCTGCCGTGGTGCTGAGTGGAGACTGTGGGTGCAGGCAGGTGTGCTGGGACCCCTGGGCTGTGCTGGGACCCCTGGGCTGTGCTGGGACCCCTGGGCTGGCAATGCCACATGTACTGGGTGGGTCACCAGGACCAGTGGGTGGCCTGGGCTGGCATCCAGGCCTGGCAGGTGCTGGAGGGGGCAGACAGATGTGCAGGTGTGCCTGGGGCTCAGGTGAGGTGTGCTGATGGGAGTGACCAGCAGGGTGTGTTGTGTGGTTGAGTGCAGTCCTGTTGGCCTTGTGTTGGCAGTGTTTATTTGTGTTAGGTTTACTCAAGGGCCTTCTCAGCAAGTCAATAATCAAAGTGTTGCAAATTCTTGAACTTGGGTTAAAAGCCTAGCAAGGATGTGTTGGGACAGTTGGTGCAGGAGGCAGCTGGGAGTTTTTGGGCAGCTTGTCCTGGTCATCCTTGAGCAGATCCAGAGAGAGCCCAGCCGAGCCTCTCCAGGGCTCTCCCTGCCTCTGCTCCTTCCCAAGGCTGGTGACCGAGTGTGTGCCTCAGAACCTGCCAAAATCTGCTGTGTGCAGTGACACAGCACGAGTGTGTGCTGCCTGCTCCCATCAGGGAATGCTGGGCACCTGGATGGGGCTTTGTCTGTCACAGTACCTGCCTAAGAGGCTGAGCAGGGCAGAAGTCCCAAGTGGAGGTGACAGCTTTTTTTAGACCCAGTGATGCAGTTGGAAATACAGGTGTGCTGTTACCTTTTGGAAAGGGCTCAAAAATGTGTAATTTTCCTCCTGAGTGATGAATTGTTTCAATAAAAACATTCTGCCTAAAAAAGGAAAGGGCAGGTGAAAGACACCGCAGAGAAGCGATTCCTCAGGATGGCTATTAATAACCCGGTGTTCCTGCAGCAGAGCTGGGATTATTTGTCTGTAACTCCTGCAAAGGAGTGTTCCTAAGTCAGCCCTGGAAGGTAAAGTCCAGGCAGAAGCACCATGTTGCACCTTTCTTGAACATGATGGATGAATGTTGTGGCCTGTGGGTGCTGGTGGCTGATGGAAACAGGGACAAGGGCACAGTGCCAGGTTTGTTCCTCGTGCTCTCTGAGCAGCTCAGGCAGCCTTCTGGCAGTGGGAGCAAGGGTGGGCTCTTCCCCATGGCTTGGGGCTCCCCAGTGAGGTGGGAGAGGTGAGATGGAGCTTTAGCCTGGACATGGAGGAAGAGCTGGTGCTGCTGTGTGTCCAACCTCCCTCCCCTAAGGAGTTACAAGGGCTGGAATGTGAGCTGGGGTGAGGGCAGGCACTGGTGGGCTCTGGCACGGCTCTGGAGCTGCCTCCAGCACAAGATAGATGCTCCAGGGCTGGGGCCCCTCTGCTCTGGAGCCAGGCTGGGAGAGCTGGGAATGTTCCCCTGGAGAGGAGAAGGCTCCAGGGAGAGCTCAGAGCCCCTGGCAGGGCCTGAAGGGGCTCCAGGAGAGCTGGAGAGGGACTGGGGACAAGGCATGGAGGGACAGCACACAGGGAATGGCTTCCACTGCCAGAGGGCAGGGCTGGATGGGATATTGGGAAGGGATTGTTCCCTGTGAGAGTGGTTTGGGGACTGCTGGAGGAGGCACTAGAAGTTGTGGTTGTGGGGCTGGGGCTGCTGGGAGAGGTGTGGAGCCACCCTCCCTGTGGCCTCGGGTGACACTGGAGCAGTGGCAGTGACCAGGTCACCGTGTTTGATTGCTGCTTCCCTCTGGGCCCATCTGAGATTCCCATTCCTGAGATAGTCTGTGGCCACAGATTTGGCAGGTTTATCACAGGCTCCTGAAGATGCAGAGCTCCCACAGGTTTCTGGTCTCCAAAAATCCTTTCTGTTTGTTTGTGATAGACGTGCAGGAGGTGCTGCTGCTGTGGGTCCTGTCCCAGAGCTGGTGTGGGATGGAAGGTCTCACTACTAATGTTTGTCAGGAGGGGCTGCTGGCTCCTTCTGCTGCTCAGGGTGTCCTCCAGGCGCTCTGTGGCAGGGTGGGGGTGTTTCCTCAAGCCATGCTGGATTGCCACGGCCTCTGGGAGCCTATTGCAGCACACTGCCAGTTGCACGCCATGCAGTAATGAATTGTGTTTGTGTTCAGTCAGGAGCGTGGCTGGTACCACTGCACAGCCTGTACACCTGCCTCAGCTCTGGGGTCTTGTGCTCCCCAAAAGGGTGTCTGGTCCCTAGTGCCTCCCTTGTCCTCTGTGCTCGGGGCAGGGGACGCTGAAGGGAGGGTTCCATCCTCTGCTGCCACACTGCCACTGCCCTTGGCTCGGCTGCTCCTCCCCTTCTGGGGCTCCAGCTGCGTGCTGGGTCCTCCTGCAGCTCTGTGTCTCTGCAGTAGAAGGGCTGGAGGGAGCAGGGACAGTGTAGCAGGATCCTTGCTGGGATCTTGAGAGTAACCTGATGATTTCTTCCCTCTGTCTGCAGATTCATTTGTGAACAGCCAGGAGTGGACCCTGAGTCGCTCGGTGCCTGAGCTGAAGGTGGTGAGTACTTGTGGCTTGTGCCTGGGATACCCCTGGTTCCCCAGATCCTCCAGAAAATCCTGCATTTCCGTGTGCCCAGGTGGAAACACACAGAGGCTTCAGCCTCAGAAGGGAGGAGGAGCTGTGGCTGCCGCCGTGCCAGGGAGGGGCTGGGGTTTCTGGGCAGCTCACGCTCTCAGGGGTGAGCAGAGCTTGTTGATCCAGGAGAGCACATGGCTCTGAAGGTGAAAAGGCTCCGTTTGAGGTGCTCAGCCTCCCTGCTGGCCCTGGCAGAGCTGTGCTGCCTGTCTGGGTGCTGCTGCACAAGGTGGTGGTTCAGGTACTGCCCCAGAGCAGCCATCCTGGCATGGGAGGTGTCACTGCTCCTTCAGAGCCCCACTGATGTCAGCTCTGCCCTGGCACTCCTCCTGCCTCTGCCGAGGTGTCCCTGCCCTGCAGGGTGCAGGAGGATGAACTCAGTTCTGCTCTGTCAAACTCAGGGGTGAGGCTCCCCATTTGGGTTTCCCCAGGTCACACCATTGCCAGGCTTCACCAGCTCCCTGTGGGGTGAGCTCTCTGTGGTCAGGGGCTGCCCCTGACCCTCTTGCCCCGGCACAGCCCCTCCGAGTGGGACCTGGCCAGCGTTGCAGGCTCTGGGGTGGCCCGGAGGTGTGTCGGCGTGGGCAGGGTGCTGCAGGTGCTTCAGTGATCGGTTCCTCCCTCTGCTCTTCTGTGCTCTCTGTGCCAGCCCTCAGCTCTCCTTAGAGGCTCCTGGTGTGTGCCCTTCAGTTCTTTCTCCCTTCAGCTTTTGCAAGATTAACTTCTGTCAATATTAGTCCAAGAAACAAAAGAACAAAATTTTTCTTGCAAAACATTCCAGCACTATCCTGCCAGTGTCTCTTACCTGCAGTTAAGTGAGAATCAAACCAAACTTCAAATATTCATTTGTTAGTTTGCCTAACGTAAATGTTAGTTTCATGTTTATGCTTTTTAAAAAGCATTCTCACGGCTGTTTGGGTGTTGCTGCCTGATGTTGAGGCTCTGCAAGGCTGCAAAGCCATGCTGCCAGCTAAACCACCCTAAAGCTTTTAGTTATTCCTCAAGTGGCACAGCCCTTTCCCCAGGTTTTGTATGACCTCTGGGGATCCCTGTTACTCTGGGATTTGATCAAGCAAAGCAGCTCTTCTGAAAGCCTGGAGGCCTTTCAGAGTCCTAGTTTAGAGTGACAGAATCATTTGGGTTGAAAAAGTCTTTGGAGATCATTGAGTCCACGTGTCCCCCAGCACTGCCAAGGCCACCACTGACCGTGTCCCCAGGTGCCACATCCACAGGGTTTTTAAATCCCCCAGGGATGGGCACTCCACCCCTGCCCTGGGCAGCTGGGCCAGGGCTGGGCAGCCCTTCCCATGAGGAATTTTCCCAATTTCCAACCTGAACCCCCCCTGGCCCAGCCTGAGGCCGTTCCCTCTCCTCCTGTCCCTGTTCCCTGGGAGCAGAGCCCGACCCCCGCACTGTCCCCTCCTGTCAGGGAGTTGTGCAGAGCCACAAGGGCCCCCCTGAGCCTCCTTTTCTCCAGGCTGAGCCCCTCTCCTGGGGCTCCAGCCCCATTGCCTGCCCTGGACACAATCCAGGCCCCCAGCGTCTTTCTTGTCATGAGGGGCCCAACACTGACCCCAGCCAGAAACGTTGCCAAGCTTCACTTCCTTCCCATTCTCAGGCAACTCTGTGTCCTCTGTCTCTCCTGCAGGAGTTGAGGCTCTTGCTGCTCTTCCTGCTTGTGTTCCCAAGCATTCAGGATACTTTCTCCAAGGTCTTTGAATAATTGGATGTATGTAGGATATATTCAGCAGTTTTCCCTCCCTCTGTTCCCCCAGAAGCTCCTCGCAGTGCTGCAGGCCAGGGGGAAGCAGTGACTGAGCTCTTGCAGGGGGACACTGACGGTGCCTCCTGGCAGGACTCGTTCCCTGGACCTGGCACTGGGCAGTGCCAGCACGGTGCTGACTGTGTTCCTGCATTCTCCCAAAAACCATGGAACAGAGGCTCCCACAGTGCTTGCACACCTTGTTTGGCTCCAGTTTGCTGCTTCTCAGGGGCTGTGTTCCTCAGGATTGTCAGTTCTGGTTTGAAGCTCCAGGTGAGCTCAAGGACGCAGCAGAGCAGCAAGATTTTGGTGAGATGCATGTCAGGGTTTGTGCTGCATGCAAAGAAAGTGTAACTGCAGTCTCTGTCCAAGTTTTAGAGCTGAATGCCATTGCAGTGTTTATCTTTGGAGTGGTATGGCACCCTTGGGAGCTGCTCTGTTGGCAGAGGAGACATGGCCAGCCCTGCACTGAAGCCCTGAGCTGCCTGCCCAGGGCTGGGCTCTCCAGAGTTCCTCCTGAGAGACCAGGGCTGTGTCCATGTAAGGCGCCCCCAACAGAACATAGACATGGACCTGGAGTGAGTCCAGAGGAGGCTATGGAGATGCTCTGAGAGCTGAAAGTCCTCTGGAGCCAGGCTGGCAGAGCTGGGGGTGTTCAGCCTGGAGAAGAGAAGATAGAGCCCATTCCAGTGCCTGAAGGGGCTCCAAGAAAGATGAAGGGGGACTTGGGACATAGGCCTGGAGTGAAAAGACAAAAGGGAATGGCTCCCCATGCACAGGGTTAGGTGGGATATTGGGAAAGAATTCTTCCCGGTAACAATGGTGAGGCCCTGGCACTGGTTGCCCAGAGGAGCTGCCCCTGGATTCCTGGCAGTGTCCCAGGGCAGGCTGGATGGGGCTTGGAGCAGCCTGGGATAGTGGAAGGTGTCCCTGCCCATGGCAGGACGTGGATAGCTTGCAGGTCCTTTCCAACACAACCCGCTGTAGGATTCCATGACTCTGTGGCTATCCTGGTTAGGCTGCAGGAGCAAGGAGGGCTCGGGCAGGGGATGGGCTGTTCCCATTGTCCATAGCATGGGCAGAGCCCCTGGCTCAGTGTGGCTCCAGGGCCACGTGCAGGACAGGCACAGCTGTGCTCTCTGTGCTGTCACTGTGTGAACACTGTTGGCTCTGTAGGTGCTCTCAGGGGTGACAGATGTGGCAGTGGTGAGGGTGTGCCCGTGTGCTCCCTGTCCTGCCATGTGCTGGCTCCGTTGGCCCCAGAGGAGCTGGCAGACAGGGAGGTGTCCTGTGCTCTGGTGGCACAGTCTGTGCTGCAGAGTGCTGGTGGCCACAGGGCTGGTGCCTCTCTGCTCCTCACAGGGAGCACGGCCCAGGGCAGGACCCCTGGCAGGACCAGAGCAGCAGGAGCATCTCAGTGCCTGGCTGGGAGCTGGAGAACCTGCCTGGTGGTGACTCACCTGCCAGGCTCATCCCTGTGCCTGGAAAAGTTTGGCTGTAAACTTCCGTGGTGGCAGAGGCAGCTTTAGTGTTCGTAGCCACTCCTCACCCCACGTCTTCCAGCACTGCTGTGGCTATGTGAGTGCAGCTGTACAGAATCACAGAACCATTAAGGCTGGAAAAGCCCTCTAGGATCATCAAGTCCAGCCATCAACCAGCACCACCACTGTGTTCACCACTAGACTATATCCTCAAGTGCTACATCTACATTTTTTGAACGCTTCCAGGGACAGTGACTTGGTTCACCTTCAGCTGAAGGTAACCCGTTCCCTTTTTGTGGGAAAAGGATACCAGATATCCAACCTAAAGCTCCCCTGATGCAATTTGAGGTTGTTATCTCTTGCCCTGTCGTTAGTTACTTGGGAGCAGAGGCAAATCCCCCCTGGCTGCACCCTCATGTCAGGGAGTTGTGGAATGAGAGGATTCCTCCTGAGCCTCCTTTTCTCCAGGCTGAGCCCCTGCTGCTCCCTCAGCCAGTTCTCAGATCCTTCACTACAGACCTGGTCCCACAGTTAAGTGGCATTGAACAGTCAGGAAGACCCTGACAATGAGCAGAGCTGGGTGCTCTGACTGACCCATCCCAGGACACCCACCTGCACTTGAAAGCCAGTCTGAGGGTGCTGCAGCCACATGTGCTCCCACCCAATTCCATTGGGTGCTCAGTAGCTGTATCCTTAGGCTTGGTTGAACGCTGGTGCTGGTGTTCCCATGTGGGTGGCACCATTGGTCTGCTGGGACATGCACGTAGTGCTGCCCTGCTGCTGCTGCCTCAGGCTGAGCCCGTGCTGGGCCTGTACCCAACGTGGAGCTCCTCTCTGCTCCCCTTTACTGCCAGCTGCTGTCCAGAGCTGCAGCACCCCAAAACTGGGCATGGGTGCCCTGGGAGAAGAGGGTTTTCTCCTTCTGAATTGATTTGGGATGGCAAGTGTTCCCTGAGGAGCAGAAAGGCTGTGGGAAGAGCTGATGTGGCTCTGGCAAGGCTGTGCCTGTTCAGGTGAGGATGAGAGTGGTGTCCAGGTGGCTGTGCCCCAATCCTGGCTGCTCCCTGCCTGACTGAGCCCAGTCAGTCCCCTGGTCTCCCACCAAACACTGGGCTGGGTCACACCATCCCTGTGTCCTCTCAGAGACACCTCTGCCCCTCATCAGCGTGTGCCCCAGCACTGGTGTCACCTCACAGGGATGGCCTTGGGTACAGGGACACGTGCTGGGCACACAGGTGACACGTGTGTCTGTTCCAGGGCATCGTGGGGAACCTGTCCAGTGGCAAGTCAGCGCTGGTGCACCGCTACCTGACCGGCACCTACGTGCAGGAGGAGTCTCCAGAGGGTAAGGGCTGCTTCCCAGGGTGCCTGGGCATGGGCTGGGTCCTCACTCCTCTCCGTGGTGCTGAGGGTGATCCCAGTCCCTGCACCTCCTCCACCCCTGCCACGGGGCTCTGCAGCTCCCCCGGCCCTGGTTTGGGGTGTCCCCTGCCGGCACCCCCTTACTGACCTCAGCTTTGCTCCCCAAGGTGGCCGCTTTAAGAAGGAGATCGTGGTGGATGGTCAGAGCTACTTGCTGCTGATTCGAGACGAAGGGGGCCCCCCTGAACTGCAGGTAGGAGAGCTGTGCTCCCTGTGGTCCTTTCCCACCATCCTGTGGAGGGCCTGGGGGGGCAGTGCTGGCAGAGCCCGGGGTGTGGCTGCCCTTTGCTGCCTGCTCCGGGCTGGGTCTCCAGCTGCTGTAATCCTGCCACATCTCTTCAGTTTGCTGCCTGGGTCGATGCTGTGGTGTTTGTCTTCAGCCTGGAGGATGAGATCAGCTTCCAGACCGTCTACAACTACTACCTGCGGCTCTGCAGCTACCGGAACACGGCGGAGGTGCCCATGGTGCTCGTGGGCACACAGGGTGAGAACTCGCCTGGGCTCCCCCACACCCCTTCAGTGCCTGGCCCGAGAGCAGGGGCTGCCAGCCCTGTGAGCACAGTGGGGATCCTGGTCTGTGAACCTTTCATGGGGCTGAGGCCCCAGCCCAGGGCCCTGAGGAGAGAGTTCCTGCTCACACCATCTCAGCTTCCCCCCATAGAGAGCTGCCTCATTCCATGGAGCCACTTTCCTTTTGGAAATGGCATGAGACCCTGGTGCTGCCTCCTCCAGCTCTGCCAGCACAGGCAGGAGTGAGCCTGGGGTGAAGAGTTTTCTGTGAGACAGTAGAGAGCAGGAGCAGGACATGGATGTAGGGAGAAGCTGTCCTGGCAGGACAGGACAGTTTCTGAGCACTGTGTGACCTGTTCCTGGCCAGGAAGAAGCTCTGAGGCCAGGAAGACAGGCAGGAGCAGTGGGAGGGAGTCCCAGAGGGTCTGCTCCAGACCCCCATATTAAAAGCAGAACAAAGTTGTTAAACTTTGGATATTTAGAGATTGTGCAGTGAATTTTAGGACTGAGTGATCCTGGCTCAGGATGGGGTGTCAGCCTGCACTCTGGAGGCACAGGAGTGGGACAGGTAATGGCGTTAGTAGCCTTCATTGTCCCAGACACAGAACCAGGCGAGGTCCTAGCCTTGGTACAGGCACACAGCCATCTGGAGAGCTCGAGGAGGGCTTCCTACAGTGCAGGTCCCAACTCTCCTGCCCCACCTGAGAAGGTTTGTTCACAGCCTCCACTTGTCCCTGGCTTGTCTTCAAGGAGTTGGATTCCTCTTTGGAAGGAAGTTTTTCCAAAACAGGCAAGCACTTGGTGGCTATCTGGGATACAAATTGAGCCTGTATTTTAGAGCTATCCAGGAATTCCTTGGCTGTGGAGATATCCCAGCAGAGTTGACTTTCTCATTAAACCAGGAGGATTTCTCCCTTGGATTCTTTAACATGTAAGGCTTGGCCATGAGCCCTAGAATGGTGGAGACTGACAAATCCATTTGATTTGGCAGCTGGGGCTGCCTGGCCTTGGTCCCCACACCTCCCAGAGGTGTTCTGCCTCTGTCTGCTGAAATGTAAGTGGCTGGGTGGTTTGGGAAATTGAGTCAGGTTCATTTACAGAGACTCATCCTTTTTTCTGCCAGCATGGGACTTTGTGATCACAGGCATTTATGGGGCAGTGCGGTGAGGTGGTTCCCCTTTGTGAAGAGAGGGAGGGAGGCCAGAAGCGTCGCGGGAGCTGTGGATAGGGGGCAGGGTCCTTGCCGATCAGCGTGCTGTCCCTTTGGTTTGCAGACGCAATCAGTGCCACCAACCCGCGCGTCATCGACGACTCCCGCGCACGGAAGCTCTCCAACGACCTGAAGCGCTGCACCTACTACGAGACCTGTGCCACCTACGGCCTGAACGTGGAGAGGGTCTTCCAGGACGGTAACTGCAGCCAGGGCAGCGTGCCCAGGGCACCACGGTGCTCTCACACAGCAGTTTGGGCTGCCCTTGGAGTAGGAAAGCGGCTCCTGAACAGCTGGATGGGGCAGCTGTTCCTCGTGGGAACAGTGTGAGAGAGCATTCCTGCTTAGGCTTGGAGATGGGTCTGCAACACAGTGATGATGAGGGGCACAGGGAACCTGCACCATCTCCTGGGAGGTTGCAGTCTGCTTATATAAACTGTGACCTTACCCTGAAGGGGATTGTGTGTTCCCTCTAGTGACAGGACAAGGGGGAATGGCCTGAAGCTAGTGGGAAGAGGTGTTTCTGGAGTGGGTTAGTGATTCTTCCTAGGGAGGACTGGCAGATCATGATGCAGCTGCTTTGGGATCTTGTGCAGTCCTGGCAGTCACAGACCCTGTGAGGACCTTGCCTCACTTGGCAATCCAATTTCCATCAGACCTTGTTTTTATATGACTTGTTCCACACAAGTGGCAGCGCTGGATCCCAGCAGACCTGCCCTGAGCAGGTTGGGAAGGATGTTCACTTCCCACAGCAGGAACAGGAAGAGCTGCTTCCAGTGCTGAGGCTGCCTGCTTGCCCGTGCTGTGTGCAGTGTGTGCTGCACCTCTAGAGAGCCCTTCCCTGCCACTGTCCTGGGTCACAGCCAGTGGCCACTGACCTTCCTGGGGAGTGGGCTTGAGGGAGTGACCACCCTGCCCCTTGGTGTTCATAGACAGCTCTTCCCACACACACGTGGTGCTGCAGAGTGGGGGGATGCTGCAAGACAGAAAAACTGGTTTCTCCATCTTCACCAACTGCACAGGGATCCTCCAAGAACTGGGTGGCCCTGGCTGCTGTGTCAGCACAGCTCAGGCAGGAGCAGCAGACCCCGTTCCTCAGAGAGGGTTGGTGTCTTCTCTGTAGCCTGGGGCTGTGTGTGTTTGGGCTGAGCACATTGCAGTGTGTGCCTGGTGGTGTTGGGGCTTTTGTGGCCCAGGGTGTGTGTGGGCACTCAGGCTGCCCAGGGTCACCATGACAATGAGGGCCACTTCCTCCTTGCTGGGTTCTCCTGTCCTGGCAGAATTCCCCCTGGAGGTGCTGCTCACTTTGTGGGAATTGCACTCCTCCATCCTTCCCAGGTCAGATGTCACAGTGACTTCTGTGGTGAGAGGATGGGATCTTGGTATTGCCAGGTGTTGCCAGGAGGTGGCCGTGGCACAGGCAGGGACAGTGCCCTAGGCTGGGCTGTGTCCTGCAGTGTCTGATCAGCTTCAAGACTCCCTGAGGAAGGCCTACCACTGACGGGGGGGCTGGTATGGAATGTGCCTTCTGTCCTCTTGACTCTAAAGAGGTCTGGTTAAAGAACTTTGTACTCAGGATTGCCCTCACAATTCCTGTTTGCAGAAATCTGGGGTTCACTTTCAGCAGATGCCAGGACAGTTTGCAAGGAGCCACCAGTGTGGGGGGATTCATTTTAAGTACTGTGCATTTTAAGTTTCTGTGGCAAGAAAAGGTCAGGGAGCCCGTAGCCATGGTCCCCTTGGTGATGTTCCTGAGGAGGAGGAGGAGTGACCCTGCAGAGTGCAGGAGGAGCAGCAGCTCTGCTGCCTATGCTATGAGTGACTTCTTGAGCTTCGCCTCTGCTGCACATCCCGAGTGCATGGTCCTGCCTTTCCTCTGCCCTGAGCACTGGAGAAGGCAGGAGAGGACAGCCAGTGGCTCCATGTGGCTGAGGTGCTGTGGCTGAGGTGCTGGTGGCATTGCTGCTCTCCATTGTCCCCCTCCAGCATGGGGCTGCAGGCCCAGGCTCCAGCATGAGTTCCCAGGGAGGCTCTGGATTCCCTGCCCAGGGGATATCTCCCATCCCAGTGCTGGCTGGGCACACTGTGAGCTCCAGCCCCCCAGGGGCCAGGAAATACCCAGAAAAACCCTTCAGCCCCTGCTGTTGTGGGCAGGGAGCCTGGCAGAGGCTCTGCCCAGCAGTTATCCCATACCACTACTGCTAATGAGGAATTAACCAGTGACACCACTCTGCAGGGATAACATCTCCCCAGTCCTGAAAAGAGGCACCTTGAGGTGCCTTCACCTTCCTGAGCCAGGCCCAGGCTCTTCTACTTCCTGAACATCAGTCAGGCTTTTCTGGGATCGTTTCTGCCATCCCTTACACCAGTCTTTGTTTGGGTTTCTCTGTTTGCCACACACAGCTCTGCTGTACAGCCAGTGAGGTGTGCCCTGCCCACAGAGCCTGGGCAGCACCACTGCCCAGGGCCTCTGTGAGCTCCAGCACCTGAGCATCACTCAGTGTTTCAAGGCAAACCCAGCACTCCAGATCTGGACAGAGGAAGAGCATTCAAAGGTCCCTTGTGATCCACCAAGGATTCTGCAGAGAACCCCTCAGGGTGTCACCTTACAGACCCACAAGGCCCAGACTGATGGGGGTGGCATTTGCCCAGGCAGTTCAGCCCAGTACCTGGCTCCTGGAGTTGCTGTGAGGGGTGCCTGAGAAGTGAAGGACTGCCCAGGGGTACTCCTGCAGCAGGCCCAGGCTCATGGTGTCTCCGTGGTGTCTCCGTGGTGTCTCCGTGGTGTCCATGGGGAGTTGCTGTTCCGTGTGATGCCCAAGAGGGCAGGTGGGCTCTGGGCATTCAGCCTGAGCAGTGCAAGCAGCACATCAAGGGAAGGGCCTGGCTCTCCCTGAAGCCTTCCAGAATTGTGTGGGTGGAGGAGGCTGCTTTCTGAGCTCTGACCCTGTCCCTTTCTCCCTTTTCAGTGGCTCAGAAGGTGGTGGCTCTCCGGAAGAAGCACCAGCTCTCCATCGGCCCCTGCAAGTCCCTGCCCAACTCACCCAGCCACTCATCTGTTTCTGCAGCCTCCATTCCTTCTGTCCACATCAACCAGGTGGGGAATGGCAACGGGGAAAGCAAGGATCTCTTGTGCTCTGCACACCCTCAGCTCAGCACCCAGCAGTTCAGCCTTAGACTGGTAGTGCTGCACTGGGCTGGCTCTTGGGAAGAGCAGAGTGGTGTCACCCTGGTGTTTCTTCCATAGCCCAGGGAAGCTGTGGCTGCCCTGGAAGTGTCTGAGGCCAGGTTGGAGCAACCTGCTCTAGGGGAAGGTGTCCCTGCCCATGCAGGGGGGTTGGAAATAGATGATCTCTAAGGTCCCTTCGTCATTTTATGATTGTATGACAGTTTGATGCTTGCCCTGAGGTGAAGTTTCATGTCTAAACCTTTGGGTGTGGCTCATGGTCCCCAGCCTGTGTCGTGCTTTGGCAGACACACAGCAGAGCTGTGAGTGGTGTGTGGGGAGCTCCTGGGCAGCACAGGGGTGTGTGAGAGGGTGGGTGGTGCTCTGGCTGCCCCAGCTGGGCAGGCACAGCTTCAGCTCCTGCTTCCCCTGGCACAGGAAGCTGATGGTTATGAGCACATCTGAGGGGATGGACCTGTGGAGAGCTGGGTTCAGGGGTGAGCTGAAGGAGCAGAAGAGGGGAGGAGGTTCCCTCCCCTCTGCCAGAGGATGGTCTGTGCTGTTGGTAAGGGTGGCCAAGGTCTTGGTGTGGGGAGGATGTTGATGCCATAGGTTTGTTCCGTGATCCTGGAGCAGAACTGAGGCAGGACAGACTCCATGGGGAGGGGCTGGGGAAGGATATCCTTTGGGCAGCCACCTCAGTGCATTCCAGCTTTGCTACATTCCCAGTGCCCACAGAAATGCTGGCCAGGTGACTGGTGAGGAAGAAACGAGAGATCCTGGGCTCCATTGCTTCCCAGGGCACTCAGGAGATTCCATCTCCGGAACAACTGGCATGTGGAATCCCAGAATCTGTGACAGAGGCTGCAGGAAATCTGCCTGTGACTGAGGGACAGCACACATAGCTGGTGGATTTTCCATAAGGGGATTGATTGCCTTTGAAACTCGGGCTGTGTCAGAACCTCCTGGCCCTGGAGCCTGTCCCTGCACAGACCTGAGCCATATCCAGCTACCTGGTTGTAGAGGCTTCTGAAGCTGGATGGCAACTAGGTGAGTGCAGGTTTTTGCAGAGACCTGTGCCAGCTTCCTGGTGCTCCAGGTCACCTGGACACCAGCAGGTTCAGGTAAAGTCTGTGTGCAGGTGGATGGGCTGCTGGGGAAGGCTTGCAAAGCCAGGTTCTGTCAGGGTGCTTGTGTCCAGAAAGCTGGGGACAAGTTCAATGGGAGACATCCAAAGTGGAGAGCAAAGTCCCAGGGAAATACAGATTTGAGTGTCTCTGGTAATTTGAGGGTTTTATTATCAAATTGTGTACATATGAGCCTGGTTGGGAAGGAGATGCCACCTGTGCTGCAAGGGAAGCAAGAGGCTGATGGCCAAGGTCAGCATTTCTCAGGGGAGCTGGACACTTGTTGAGTGTTTTCTTCCACGTCCAGAGTATGAGAAGAGCCCCAGTAAATACGTGCCATGGACACTGGCTGTGCCAGGCAGGCAGGGTGTTTACTGGGAAGCTGAAAAGTGTTCCCTGTATGAGGGATGGGGCTGCCAGACCCCTGGGTTCCCTAGTCGGGATCCAGTCACTCATGGGACTGTGCATGGAACCTGAAGGAATAACAAAAACGTGTGGGAGGGAAGAGACCCTGACACAGGAGGAAAACAAGCACTTGACTGATTTAGCTGAGGAAGGAGTGCAGTGATAGGCCAAACCTGACCTAAAATATACAGGTGTGACAGGAAAGAGCTCCTTAAGGAAAGTCAGCACTGAGCAAAAGGGGTGGATTTAGGACTGGCTGCGGGGAAGCAAATTTTGGAAGAATTTTCTAACTGCATGAGCGTTGTGAGGTGTTTGCTCAGAGCCGTGCCTGCTCTCCTCTCCTCTCCTTCCCACAGAGCACCTCTGAGCACGGCTTGCAGACGACATCTGTGTAGAGGTGAATTCTGGCTGCCTGCTGGGGAACAGACCTTTGCTCTCTGTACCTTGCTGTGCTCCTGGCTTGGCTGGAGGGACGTAGGGAGCTGTGGTGGGAAGCAGAGCTGTGAAGGGAAGTAATGCAGCGTGCAGCTCGCAGGGATTGATGGCCTGTGCCCCCTCTGGACCCACTGTGCAGTGCTGTGCCCTCCTGCCCTCAGCAAACCCGGGCCCCACGAGGCTGCTCAGAGTCAATTTGTCTTCCTGGGGTCTTGTGTGGTCCCACCACAAGCCCTCTCGGTGCCAATAGCCCGTGCAGTGATCTCTGCCCTGCTGCTTGCACGTCTCTCCCCCATTACTAAAGACACTTCTGAAAATAGTGAAGCAATGGTGAGTGATCCTAAAATGCCATGAAGTGTTTATCTGCTCTTGCATGGCCTTGGAAGTGAAGTTCTGGAGCTGCTCCCCCCTGTCCTCAGGGAAAGTCCAAGTGGCTTTAGGAAACAAAATCCCCCATAACTGATGGTTCTGACAGGGAACTGGGCAGAGCAGCCCCCACACTCAGGTGTGTACTGAGGCTGCCCATGTAGGAGGGCACAATGCCCAGCTGGGTACTGGGGAGCAGTGCCCCGGTGTCCCCTGCTCCTGGCCCAGCCATACATGGAGGGGCAGCCCTGGGGAGGGATGGACAGGCTCACCCTGCCAGGAGCGACCATCTGGAGAGTGACAAGGTCTTTGTGGAGCAGAGCTGAACTCTGGCTTACCTGAGGGCCTGGACTCTCACCTGGGTTTCTTAGTTGCTTTTGCAAGTCCAAGAGCAGTAACTAGCACAGGGAAAACAAGAAAAAGGCTCTCAAGGAAGAGTTTAAGAGCACGGGACTTAACATGGAGATGAGGTGGAGAGAAGCCTTGTGCTGCAGGTAACAGTGTGCACCGGTGAGACATGCCCTGGGGACAGAAGGATCCCCTTCCCTCCAAGTACTGCCTGGTGGGGCAGGAGGAGTCCCTGGAACGGTGGGACTGGCATTTAGGGGCAGGAGGAGCCCCTGGAACTGGGAGTGGCAGTACTGCTCTGGGCCTGGCAGGCCCATCCTGCAGGGACAGTGCTGTCCTCTGCAGCTGCCAGCTGAGAAGGCACTTTGCTTGGAAAGGGCTTCTTATGGTAGGTAGGAGCTGGGACCCAGCCCTGCCCCTTCTCTTGTTCTGGGCACAGCTCTTGTGGAAGTAGCTGACACTACTGGCTGAGCCAAGCTGACTTTTTTGGAAATGGCCACTGCTTGTGTGGTCTGTCAGTTGGACCAGACCAGCGTGGTTACTGGGAGAGGAGGGACTCCAGAGGACCCTGGTGTTTTGTTACCCAGCTGTCTGGAGGATTCCTTTCTCCTGGGACAGTGGTGCTGTGGATGTGTCCTGGTCTCCTTGCACACTGCGTGACTGTTTTGGGGGCCAGCCAAAGGCCCTGGTTTCATTTCTGCCTTTGGGAGTTTGGGGTTTTTTTCTGCTATTCTGCAGCGGTGTCTGGAGCCTGGAGGACATTGCCTCATCCATGGGGAGAGAAAGGGAGCTGTAGGAGCAGGTCAACCCTGGTCAGGGTTTTCCACCAGCTCTCATGAGTCACTAGATGTGCTTGGCAGGTCCCTGACCCCGGGTACTGTGTCCAGCATCAATCCAGTACAGCAGGAGCCAGGGCCAGCCCTGGAGTCCTGCACTCCCTTGGGGACACAGATCTGTCCCTTTGGCCTTCCCAGTGGCTTGAGGGGTGTGGGTCTGCACCCACTGGAGCAGGTGCCTTGTATTCCCCAGAACCCAGGGAAAGCTCTTGCCTGCTGCCCTGGGCTCTCCTCTATGTATCTTACCCGCACCTATTGTTGAGTGAGCAGGTTGGATGGGTTTGGGAATCCCACTCCTCACTTGGCCCTGACTCCCACCTTGCTCCCTCCTGGCATCTCCTGGCCCTTGCCTGCAGGGAGGGGATGGGAGTTTCTCAGGCCAGTGGGTGCTTGCAGCACCTGCAGAGTTGTTCTACCTGATTTCCTCACTTTTGCTGCACCGTTCTGAGTCTTTCTTCAGGGCCTCTGGGATGCTTTGGAAATTCCCCAGGCTGTGGGTGAGTCACTATTGTGTTTGCTGTGGGATGCTGTTTGTCTTTCTGCCAGGAAACTGGTTCCCAGCAGCTGGCAGGAGGTAACAGGTACCCCATGCAGGTACCTGACAGGGTGGTGGAGGGTTTGGGAGCTGCTGCCATCCCCTCCGTGCTCTTGGCTGCCTGGTATGGTGGCCCCTCTCCAGTGGCCCCAGTCTGCCTTCCTGCACGGGCTCTCTGGGGCCGAGGGCCTTCATCCAGACTCAGTGAGAGATCATATGAAAGAGGTGGAAAATCAGAGTTTGCAAGTGAAATGAAGCCCCAAGGGCAGCTCACCCGAGCTGGTAGCAGTGCTCTCTGACCTGCTGCAGCACGTTCTGTCAGAGTTCAGGAGCTGCAGCAGGTGTTGGCATTTCCTTATGGAAGCCTGTGTCCTGTTGCCTGCTCAGCTCACGGTGCCTGCTTTCCATCCTCCATGTGCTCCTCTGGCTTCTCCCTTCTTCCCAAAGAAGGGCACTCAGAGCCCTTCCCAAGGACTTCTTCTGACCCAGGCCTTGTTACACCAGGAATTCCTGCCCCTGAACTCCAGCTGTGTTGTGCCCTTCCCAGGCACCCTGTGGCACTGTTGATGCTCTTCCATCGGTTACACACTAATGGGAAGGATTTGTCCCACAGGTGTTTCACCAAGTTTTCAGTTCCCACAGTGTTCTCAGATTCCAGTGGTGACCACAGATGGTTGTTCAGGTTCACTAGCAAAGAGCAAGAGCAGACACATGGTACCAACCCAGAACTGTCATTTTGTCAGGGTTCTCCCACATCCCTGACGTTTGTCCTGTGTCCCCGGATCCCATGGAAATTCTGGAGCTCCCTGCTCCAGTGGAGCAATGCTGGCTCAGGATTGCCTGAGCCACTCTCTGTCTTTGAAGGATTTTCTCCTCTGCCCCCAAACTGGTGGCAGCTTGCCTTCATAGCCTGGTGTGAGCCATCCTGCAGCCCCAGAGCCCTTCCTGAGGTTTGGTCTGTGGGACATGGGAGGCTCAAAGGCCAGTGTCCTTTGTCACTCAGGGACAGTAACCTTGGCTCCAACACCAGGCAGACTGACAAGCTAAGGAAAGTTATTCTGGCCAGACAGAAATGACACACAGCACTACGGGGAGTAAGTAAAATATAAACCAGGCTGTAGCAAAATTTCTTCTTTGTAGTAAAAGTAGTTTCTTCTTTGATGCTTTAGTGTCCATCATCTGCATCCACAGGATTCCTCAGCCTGCAGAGGAGCTCCCAGGCCACATTTCCTTCCCTGGAGAGAGTTCCCAGCCTCTTGTACTTGTGGAAAAGCACAGCTGGACCAGGTTCCCTCTTGTTCTGTGTTTCAGGACTCCAGAAATGTTCCTGTTTCCAGACAGGCTGGGATGGTCCAAGCCACCCACCTGCTCACAGCATGGAATTGTTTTCCTTGCTCTGCCTTCATGAGGAGGAAGCTGAAATGCTGCTTGGGTGGCTTTTTTCCTCTCTTAGGTTCTCATTGTGTGTCTTCTCCCATATCTCTTGTCAAAGTTGAGGAGGTCCATGGCTTGGGTGAAGGTTGCACCTCTCTCTGACACCAAGTGTGGGTCATGGTCACTGCTCTGCCTGTGCAGCCCCCTTCACACTTCTCTGAACTGCTTGTCTCAGAATAAGGCTCTGATCCCACTGGGGATGGGGGTCTCTCTCCAAGCCCCTTCAGCTCATCATCACCCTTCGTGGGCTCCATTCCTGCTCAGCATAGGTGGTTGGAGGAGGTCACTGGGCCATTGGTGCCACCACTCTGTGAGCGTGGAGCTGGGAGGAGGCAGGCTGCCCCTTCTGGGATGCTGGAGCTCACCTGCCCTTCTAGGGGCAGCTCCTCCATGTGTTCCTGAAATACTGTTCAGAACTGCCCAGGAGCTCGGGCTGCCGTGTGCTGTGTCATAGTGAGATGTCCTGGCTGCAGACCTGAAATGTTTCCATGCTGCTGTTGTTTCTGGGATGTCCCTAAGCACCTGTCCAGTGGCTGCCCACACTGCTGGCATGAGCAGGGTGGGAGTGAGCAGCCTTGTCTGGAAGAGATGTGTTGGTGACCCGGGTGCATGGCTGCACGGTTGCATCTTCCTGTTGCTATGGAAGCCAGTGAGGTGTTAGTGAAGTCCCTGGTGTTCCCAGGCACGGGCCACTGCAGCCATGGCTCTGGTGGTCTGCAGGCACAGGAGGTGTGTGCCAGCCTCAGGGTCTGCTCAGAGAGACCTCCAAACCAGCAGCAAGATGGGTTTCACACAGAGTGTGAGCTTGTGGTGTGGCACTCCGTGCTTCAGGACATGGGAAGGTGAAGGCTGAAGCCCTGGGGACACACATCCCCCTTGGAACCACATGGGACCCCACTGCCTCAGGCCTTGTTCCACACCTATGTTTTTGGAAGGGCTTCAGCTGGGTTTCTCTGGCCATTTGCTGCCCTACTCTTTGATTTCAGAACTTGAACATTTTACTGGTGAAAAAACTAGAGCAGAAAGAGAGGAAAGACTTCCCAAGCCCCTCTGTTGAGCAGGAGCAGTGCCTGGCATTGGACGTGTCTCTGGGTTGCCCCACTTCCCCATCCCTGGAAGTGTCCAAGGCCAGGTTGAATGGGGCTTGGAGCAGTCTGGTCTAGTGGAAGTTGTCCCTGCCCATGGCGGGGGGTTGGAACTAAATAGTCTTTAAGGTCCCTTCCAACCAAAACGATTGATTGAATTTTTGGATGTCACCCAGTCCCAGTTGAGCGTGGCGCTCCCTGCCCTGGCACGAGGCCGTGTGGGGCAGGTGTGCTCCTGCAGTCTGTGTCTGATCCCCCTGACCATCCATCTCCTCCTGCAGGCCACCAACGGCGGAGGAGCCTTCAGTGACTACTCCTCCTCCGTGCCCTCCACCCCCAGCATCAGCCAGCGGGAGCTGCGGATCGAGACCATCGCTGCCTCCAACACCCCCACCCCCATCCGCAAGCAGTCCAAGCGGCGCTCCAACATCTTCACGGTAAGCAGCACAGGCAGCCCGGGAGCTCTGGGCTGGCTTTCAGCAGAGGAGAGGGCAGGGGAGGGGGGCACGGCAGCCTGAGCCCGTGGGCTGGCCCGTGCTGTGCTGGCAGGAGAGTGCGTGTGTGTGCGAGGGGAGGCACCTGCGTGTGCAGGGGCCGTGGTGCTGCAGGCTGCTCCAGCAGAGTGTGCGTGCATGGGGAGCACCTGGGAGCAGGACATTGCTCACACGCACAGGAGTGTGGCAGGCTGCACTCGTGTGGGTGTGCAGTGTGTGTGAGCTCCTGCTCTTGCAGGGGGTGCAGCTGTGCGTGCACAGCACCAGTGACTCTGCTCATCTTCTCCTTGGGGCCGCGCACCCCGAGCGTGGCACGGAGCCCCTGCTCACTGGGGCTCCTGTTTGGTGCCGCTGATGCTGTGCCCAGTGGTGCTGTGCAGAGCTCAGCACCTGGCGTGGGGCCCCACTTGCTCCCGTTCCTGAATCCTGCGTGCCTTGAGCAGCGCACGTGGGAGCTGCTGTGGGTGTGGAGGGAGGGAAGACGGAGGGAGGCAGCGAAGCTGTGGGCCCCAGGTGGAGCAGGGTACATCTGCAGCCCTCAGCTGTGCTGGTTGCCTTGCAGCCTGCCTCTCTGCACGCTCTCACACCATGCACACACCGTCCACGCAGTGTGCACAGTCCTGCCCTCACACTCAGCCTTGCTCTGAGCACAGCCATGAGTGTCCCCTCGCTGTGAGCACACACGTGTCCCAGTCCCGTGTCTAGCATAGGTGTAGCCTCTGTTCCTGTGTACGTGTGCAGGCTCCGGCCTCGCTCCTCTCCCCATCTCAATGTGCTTTCCAGCCACCATTGCTCAGCACACTGTGTCTGCTGTCTGTGGAACCGGCCACCACAAAGTCCTTGTACCTGTTGCACCATGTCACCCCTGTGACCAGCCGCTACTGCTGTGATCCCAGACCACACAAATTCAGTGTCCTGTGCCCCATTCCTTTCACCGCACCATTGGCATCCCAGATTCCCCATTCCTTGTGCTGGGAATGTGCCCATCTCCCTTGGCTTCTGACACCCTGGAAGCTTGTGCGCTGACCTCCTGAATACTCTGTGCATTCCCCTGGCTGCATCTCCTGCACCCCCAGCTCTCTGTGCACGCCCCAGGCCCACGCTCACCCCGTCTGTGCGCGTACCACCCCTCGCAGCAGGTCCCCACTCCCAAAGCATGGTTATTCCCTCACTGCCTTCCCCTCCGTGTGCTCTGCCCTCTGGAGTGCCCTGTAGCTGTCCCCCTGTTCCTCTGGAATGCCCTGTAACTGTCCCAGTGCCTTGTAGCTGTCCCAATGCCCTGGAGCTGTCCCGCTGTTCCTCTGGAATGCTCTGGAGCTGTCCCGATGCCCTGTAGCCGTCCCAGTGCCCTGGAGCTGTCCCTGCTGGGCCGTGCTCTGTGCTCCCACTGCAGCAGCTCTGGGGGTGCTCTCCCCTGTGTCCCGCCGTTCTCTCTCCGTGCTTGGCTCGTGCTGTGCCACCCCCATCGTGCCACCCCCATGCTGCTCCTGCTCGCCGCGCCGACGCGCCTGGACTCGCCGCCGGCTCATGCTCAGGCTCTCTGGAGCCCCATGCTCGCTCACCGGGGTGGGCACTCGCTTGGGGAGGAGGAGGAGGAGGAGGAGGGCGGCTCGCTGCGGGGCTTGCGCTTGTTCGCTGTGGGCGTCGTGGTGCGTGCAGGGCTCTCACTGCTCACCCATCCTGGGCTCACGCTTGCTCTGCGCCGCGGGCTCACCTCGCCGCGGGGCTGGGGCTCACCTCACCTGCTTGCTCGTGTGCTGCTGCACATCCATGGCTCACGTTGACGTCTTCACCCATCTGGTCGTGGCAGCAGCAGCAGCTCCTGACACCTCCCACAGTGGGACAGGACCAGGCAGGGCGGGAAGGGAAGGAAGGGCAGGCTGTTTTCTGCCACTAGCTTTTCCCAGGCAGGCAGCACAGGTGTAGCCAGCAGCCTTCGTCCTTGTGGGGTCCCCAGGTGAGCACAGGCCTTTCCGAGGTGCAGTGCTCGGCCCGGCTCTGGGAGCCGCTGCAGCCCCAGTCCCGAGCTATGCCTGACTCCTTTGCTCCTCCTCTCCTTTCCTCCTTCTCCTTTCCTCCCCCTCCTCCCCATTCTTCTCCTTCTCTTCCTCCTCCTCCTCCTCTCCTCTCCTCTTCTCCTCCTTTCTTCTTCTAATCTCCTCGTCCTCTCTCCTGCTCTGGCTCCTCTCCTGCTCCCCTCCCACTCCCCACTGGATCGCATTCCCCCCGGGGGTCTGCGTGCCCCAGAGCTCCAGGTGGACACGAGCTCTGCGCCCCCCGCGCCTCGAGGCGCTGCCCACTCCTGAGCCCAGCCCCAGCCCCGACTGCTGCTGCCGCCGGCGCCCACTCCGTGGCCTGTCCGTGCTGTCCGCTGGCACCCATCACTGACAGACTCGTGTCCGTGTTCTGAGTATAACTTGCCAAACTCTTTATTCTTTCGATATTTGCAGATATGTGCCACTGTTTCCAACTTTTCATCAACAAAAAGGCCTTTCCAACTCCTTCCAAATTAGAAGATCCAGGTGGTTACACACGGCACCTCTGTACAAATTCTCTCACTTTTCATTGCCTCTCCAGGGCCGGATAAGGGATGGGCACTGGGATTGATCTAAGATTAGAGGCTCGCCCGCCCTCCAGCCAGCATGGGTCCCCCCCTCGGAGACACGCAGGAGCCTTTTAAATCCCCCCAATGTAAAGTCTAGGAAGCGCTGAGACGGCCTGCGCCTGCACTTTAAGCTGGGACATTTCTGGGCCTGCTGGATGCTGTCTGGGCACTGCCCCTTCTCGGGGATGCCAGGCGGACGACCCTGCTGGGATGGGAAGACCTGCAGACACACCGGGACCGGGGACAGCCGCGCATGGAGCTGGATGGGCCAAAAGACGCTTTGCTGCTGCCTGCGGGAGCCGCTGCAGCGCCTGCCGCTAGCGCTCCGCTCCTTCTTCCCTCCTGCACCTCTGCAGCCTGCATGGACTCCTGCTCCTCCTCCTCTTCTCCTCGCAGCCGAGCAGCCATCTGTGTCTCTTTAGTTTTCTTCTCTTTCGATCTCTTTGTTTGGTTCTGGGCCCAAAATCTGGTGAATCGGTGTCCCAGGCGCGCGGGGCTCGTATCCCTTTCTGATCCAAAGCACACGGGGCCCTCCTGGACTGAGGGGGTGTGTAGGACGCTCCAGAGAGACGCTGCCGCTGCCTCCTGCCATTGTTGTGATTCTGAATGTATTGGTTGTGCTCCATGCCATGTATGACTTGGTATTTCCCTCTGTCCTAAGCACTTTGAATGAGTTCTGCTCAACAGACTGTAAATTTCATATTGTATTTATCAGAGTTTGCTCTCCCCGCGGCCCTCGGGCGCTGGTGGGTCCTGCTCTCGCCGCTCTAGACGTGTGGTAGATATTTATTGTCCATGCTCTTTTGTAAGGGGCTGGTATCTCTGCCCGGTGACCTGTGCTACTTTGTATGGTGCAAGTGTGTTACCAGAATAAATCTGTTGGATTAGTAGAGGTGTGAGTTCCTTCAGTGCCTGAGCCTCTCCTGCTTCCATCCATGCTCCACCTGCATCCCATGCCATTTCTGTCTGTCGCCATGTCCTGTGTGCCCCACGGGAGGGGGGGCCCACATAGCCCCGCTCTGCCAGGAGGAGGACAGCTCTGCTTGCAGTGGGGGGAGAGGAGAGGATTGGACAGGAGAGCTCGCTGGGGGCTGGGCTGGAGTGTCCGAGTGTCCCTAAGGCACCGGGTGAGGGCCCGTGCGCTGGCAGAGCTGGCCTGGGGGAGAGCAGAGTGCTCTGGTCTGGAGCCTGCTGGGGACAGGGGACCGTGTCTTCTGGTGTCCCGTGCCCAGCTCTAACGCGCCTGTGTCTCTTCTCTTCCAGTCTCGGAAGGGCGCGGACCCGGAGCGCGACAAGAAGGTGCCGGAGTGTAAAGCGGACAGTATTGGCAGCGGGCGGGCCATTCCCATGAAGCAGGTTCGATGCTCCCCTTCGCCCCCTGCGAGACCCCGCAGCTCGGGGGAGTGTGGCTGGGGCGCCTCTGCTCAGCACTGGGGGCCGGCCGGGGGCTGGCTGGTGTCCCTGTGCCCCGGGGGCTGCGCAGCCGCCGGCTCCAGCAGCGGGCACCGCTGGGTGCTGGCGTGGAGCCTGGAGCCTGTGCCGTGCGTGGGTGGGGGGCTGCGGCGGGGGCTGCGGCGCCGGCGGCTGCAGAGCGGTTCCAGCAGATGGCATCCATGCCCCACGCCCGCCGCAGCCCCCGCCGCAGCCTCTCTGCTCCTTCCCTGTTCCTCTTCTCTCCTGTTCCTTCCCGCTCCTGCTCCTGCTCCTGCCCGGACAGGAAGGGGATTTCCCTCTTCACGGGCGGCTAGAGAAAGCTGTGAGCCCACACCGTGAGCTGGGAGTCTAAGGGAGGCACTGCTTCCTCCAGCAGCAGCGCATTCTGCTCCTGCCTCTTGGCTTCCAGGGAAGCTTCAACTGCCTGGATCCAGCCCAGAGTGTTGCCTGCCCCTGTGTCTGTCGCTGGCAAGCAGGGGTGGGTGATGTCCCAGCGAGCCAAGTGGTGTGGATTGGCTGGATGGTGTTTCCATCAGGATTTCCTTGCATTTCAGGAAAGACTGATCTGGCAGTGCCTGGTTGTGCTCCTGCCTTGCACATTGTGCCCCCGTTGTGGATCCATTTACCCTCTGCTGGCCCTTCTGTGCCCCGTGTGCCCCCCAGCGCTGCCAGGGCTGAGTTGCACAGGTCCAGTTGTTTCTCTGCATTGCAGGAGTGCAGGAGAGTAGAGTCTACATCCCCACCAGGTTCTGGCTGCCTGGTACGATTCCATGCTGAGATTCCATGGGGAAAGGCTCAGTGAGGCCAGGCTAGCTGAGGAGTGGAGTGGTGGGTCAGAAGAGAGAGACCCTGCTCACTGCTGGAGCTGCCAAAGCTCCTGCCCTTCCCTGCCCATGGAGTAATGCTGAGGCAGGTTTGTGCAGGGCTGTTGGTGCCCCGAGCAGGGGGCTGTGCTGAAAGGAGGGTGGGGTTGGGAAGGCAGGACTGGGAGAGTCAGCTCTGGGCCAGAGGGAGCAGTGACAGGAGAAGCAATGCCAGGGTGGGGTCTGTGGGATCTCACACATGGGGGCTCTGCTCCTGAGGTGGCCACGTTTGGCACAGCCCCAGCAGGAGGAGGCAGCCCAGCATGCTGGGCCATCCCCTGCTCTGCAGAACAGGGCCTGTTGGTGTGCAGGGGTTGTTGTTTGTGGTGGGTTGTTGTTGGTGTGCACGGGGTTGTTGATTGTCCTGGGTTGTTGGTTTGCAGTGGCAGTGCCCCATATGCTGTGGTTTGGGGTCAGCCCAACCTGGCAGGGGAAGCAGTGGGTGGCTGTTCTGTGGTGAGGTAGGGGAGGCTGAGAGTAGAGCAGGGAGCCTTCAGTGAGCCCTGACTTGGTTCCCCAGATCTGCTGCTGCCTGCTGGAGGGCTGGTCCTGAGAGGGACCTGACATCCTTTCGTGCCTGGACCTTTGGGTCCCTTTTCCCTGCAGGGCAGGATGATTGCTTTACCTGCTCCTGTGTCTCCGTGCTGCTGACAGGGCCTGGCCTTGCCTGGTCTGCCAGCAGCTGTGTTGGTTTAGTGGGATTAAGTCATTCTATGCTGTTCCTGTCTGGGATGGGGAGAACTGGAACCAGTGGAGGCCCAGGTCTGCAGACCCAAGCTGTACATCCTTTCTGGGCTTTGCAAGGAGGAGGAGATGGCAAGCTCCTGCCTGGTGCAGGACTAAGCAGAGGGACCAGTTCATGGCAGCAGCAACTCACAAGGAGAGCCTGGAGCAAAGAGTTCCCCTGGGAGATCCAGGTCTGTGCTGGGTTCAGGACTGGCACCTCTTCTAGCCAGACTTGTGAGAGGTGATTTCCCAGAGATCAGAGATCCGGGCAGTGTTTTTACAGGAACATACGTAGGGGGAAGTGGTGTTTGACAGGTGGGCACTAGCTTGTGCCAGCAGATATTGACACATGGCTTGTGAGGAAGGGGTTGCCAGGGAGTCCATAGTGAGATCAGCACGGCAGCTTGGCACATTCCTGCTGTGGCCTTGCACCACAAGGAATGATGGCTTGGTACCACCGATGGGGACAGGAGCAAGACTCCCAGGAGGTGTAGGAGCTGTATCACAAAGGTTTGGGACAGGGGATGGTTGCTCTGGTCTCTGAAGATGGTGGAGGTCTCATCCCTTGCTGTCTCTGAGGCAGTGGAGAGTGGGGCCTGTAGTTTTCCTCTTAGATGCTCACTGGTCCTGCCCAGCCATAAGAACAGAAGCTGGCGGGTTTGGCGATGTGAGTGGCAAATGGGCAGGACCTGCTGCCTGTGTTCGTGGCCAGCATTGGACTGTTAGCTTCCCTTGGCATGGGCACTGCTGGGCTGGCGGGTTTGGTGCTGGGGCTGAGGGCAGGTCACCTCGGGAGAGCTGGCTTCCTCTGCACGGGTCCGTGCTTACATTGCCAACCTGAAGGCAGTGTGCTGGGGGGCAGCAGGCTCACCCGTGACCCCACGGCTGCAGCACCATGATCCACGATCCCTTCCTGGTCTCTGTGAGCACAGAACAAGCACTGGGAAGCACTGGCAGCCTCCTCAGCATGCGAGGCCTGGGGTTTGCATGGAGCCAGGAAGCAGGAGGCTGGGCTGGATGCTGCAGAAAGAGAAACACTGGGGAGCCTGAGGAGGGATGTGTTGCTACTACAGGGTGCTTTGTTGTCACTTGTCACTGCCTTCTTCAGCACAGCACCTCTGGGTGACCTGATCTGTCTCCCTTATGCACGTCTGGAAAAGATGGAGCTCCCCAAGGGGACAGGTGAGACTGTGGCTGTTGGGGCCCCCCCACCCACCTGGGACAGCACCTACGCACCCTCCAGGCAGCTGGTGCCTCTGCCAGGGCTGCTCTGTGCCATGGACTCAGGGTCTGTGTGCCACAGTGTCCTTTTGGTGGTGGTCTGCAAGGCTGGAAGAATTCCTTCGTAGCTGGACACTTGTCCCCAAGAAGTGGGTTAATTAAGCCAGGAGACGAAGCTTCCCCAGCTGTTTGTTACCAGGAATGAGCTCCTAATTGCACATCTAGCAGATCTTTGTGGGAAGGCTGCATGGAGCATGCTGGCAGCCCGGGGGTCCCCTGGCCCCTGGCCTGGCTCTGCTCGGGCCGTGCACTCCAGCAGGGCCCAGGGCGGGTGACTCCTCCTCCTTGGGAGCTGGGATCATGCTGGGAGCTTAGATTACATTTAAATTGCCATTTGCATTTTCCAATCAATACGCGACTTCACAATTAAGTTTGGTGTTAAAATTCTTAGCAAAAAGTGAGTGGAAGGGAGATTTGTGGAGTAAACGAGTCCTCTGGGGGCCATCGCCGCTCCCTGCTTCATTACGCTGCATATTGCTGCTGCTGCTTTTCCTGAGCGGCAGCACAGCCCAGCCCAGAGCAGCGCCGAGCCACGGAATGCCGGGAAGGGACAGAGCGGGGACAGCGAGAGGCTCGGGCTCCCCTCCCTTTGCCACATTACCTTTCGGTTTTCTGGCTTTATGTTTTCTTGGAGTTCATTTGAGCGAGACGTTGAGGAACTAGTCTGAATCAGATGCAGGGTGGCTGCACCTCTGTGAGCCCTTCTGTTGGACATGGGTTTGCCACTTATAACCACTCTTGCTCTCAGACATGGGTATGTTTTGAGACCTTGCACTTGACTAGTTCGCATTCCATCCATTACTGGCTCTATGGGTTTTGTACAACTGGTGTTTAAGGGTGTTCTTGCTCAGTTAAAGACCCGACAGAAAGCTAAAAACCACTTGTCAGCACAGTCACTCCTGCCGTCAGATACTGTGTTTTACCCAAGGGAGAACCAGGCTCCTCTGATGTCCTGTTTGCACTGCTGGCACTGGCTCCTCCTCTCTCCTCTCCTCTCCTCTCCTCTCCTCTCCTCTCCTCTCC